CGGCGCCGCCCGGACCTGCTGGCGGGTGCGGGGGGCCCGACCCCGCCCCGCTTGTCGTGGCCCCGACGGTCCCTGGGCCGCTGGGGTCGGATCCGGGCCAGGCCAGGCCAGGCCCTGCTCCATCCCTCAGCCTGGTCCCAGTCGAGTCAGTAAGCAGCCGTTCTGGGGCAGCTCGGGTCTTCCCCACATCTATTTCATCGCTACAGCCTGTCACTGCCTAAACATTGGCTTTGAAAAAGGACTCGGGGACCAACTTCGGCCTGGTTGCTCGGGCCGTGGCAGGCCAGGCAGGCACAACCCGAAGTGGCCCCGGGACGCCTGTTCCAGGTGGAGGTGATGGTGGAGGTGGAGGCGCAGGTGGCTCGTGGGCTCCCGCTCACAGGCTGCGCTGCTCGTTGTTCTGCTCACAAATGCGTCCCTCTGACTGGCATCAGTTCTTTCTCTCCTGCGACGGATTCGGGGTCATTTGGGCTCAGGTTCGCTCTGCAAAAGGAAAGCGAAAGATGGAAACAGCTCCAAAGAGGCATCCAAAAGCTAATGGTGAAGCATTGTGCTAAGGGGGTTGGGGCTGATGCAAATGGCTGGCTCTGTGTCAATTGCAGGACAGCCAAGTCCGGATGGTCTCAAAACATATCTCCTCTTCGGAGAGACGGCCTTCCCCGGGGGCAGGGGGGTGTTACCTGCTGAGCAGATAATTCACAAGAAATGTATTGAGGTAATATTACTTCCTTCCCATTTCAGCAAACTATGAATCTTGTATGAATTTAGAGATTTGCCAACTGCCGTGTGGGCCAAGCCCTGTCACTGAGAGAAGGGCTGGGCAGGAGAGGCAGGAAGCAGCAGAGCCCCAGATAACGGGCAGCTGGCAGCTCAGTTGTTAGATCAGGGCCTGCTGAAGTGCCCGTAGCTCCGTGGACCCGAGCATGGAGGGCAGTCTGATGACTGCAGAGTGGGAGCAGGGAGCTCTGTAAAGCACTGAGCATAAGTGGAGACAGAACCTGACAGCACGAATGGAAGGAGCTTTCTGTGCGTGGCACTGAGAAGCAGGACCAAGCACCCGGGAGGGCCCAAAGTGGGAGAAGCCTGTGGGAGAGCTTGGAGAAAGGCACCCCAGCTGCAGTTGATTGCATGTGTTTGACTTGATATGCGCTGTGTAGGCTGCAAGCCATGGGAGTAGCTGAAGGGGAGGAAAGGAGGGCCCCGAAGATGCCCCACAGAGAGGCCTGGCCTATTGCAGGGCTGGCAGGTAGGGCAGAGGCTTGGTGAGTGGTGGGCCAGGCTGGAAGACGGGGTGGAGGGGTGGGATCAGAGCAGGGGCAGGGGCAGCACAGAGTGCCCAGGACCACCCTCTGGTTCCCCGTAGGCAACCACACAGTAGTAACATCCCAGGCATGGCAGAAGAGGGGACCTAGGGATACCAGAGTGCAAGGAACGGGATTAGAGCGGCCACAAAGAGGCACCACTTCTGCCCCTAGCAGTGGATCCTGTTAAAAAATATTAAGCTTTTTTTGTGGGGAAAAAACCAAACCATTCAGTATGTGAAAATGGGTCGGTGAGAATACATTTAATTAGGGTGACTGTATATCCTGTTTTAGCCAGCACAGTCCTGGGATTTGAAGGCTGGTCCTGGCCAGCTGCTGGGAATTATAACGAGCGTCCCGAGGGTGCAGGGCGCAGTCTGGCTGGGACTGGAGCAGTGTGGAGAGCCTTGCAGCTGGGAGAGCCAGCTCTTACGATTTAATTGCAAATCTGTTGACAGCTGACATTTTTTTTAAGCCCCAGCTCCTGAGGTCTTGTGTTCAGTAAGGTTCTCAACTCTTTTTTGGGGGGGGAGGGGGGAGGGTTGTTAAAAGCAAGCCCTCTGGAGAAAAACTTGCAGATACATACCTTAAATGTTCAAAACCAGGAAAGCAAGTAAAACCCCCCAAATATTATTTTTCTTAAACTCATGATTTCCTAGACTCAAGGTTTTCAAACACTTGAGGTTAGCACTATTAATGTCTAAAAGAGTTGCTTCTTGTCATGTTCATATCAGGTAGTGGCATGTGCGCGTAACTGCGTGGCCCTACTTTACATTGAGATCTGATCCTTTTTCCCTCATTTCGTTGCCTCAACACCAGAGATTTGGCCACTGGCAGGGTTTTCAGAGTTACTGTGCCTTCTTTTCCTTTCTCATGTATAAAGTATGACACAGCACTCAACACGTTTAAAAATATTCTGACCAAAATACTGGGGAGTATACTATAGATGACAGTCGTTTGTGAGATGTTGGGGATGGACCAGATCATTGAATAATCTTCTCCAGTTAAAAGAGCTTCTCAGCTAAACATACTGCCTCCCCCCGCCAAAACCCAGTAGAGCAGACATCTGGGCAGACGTAGGCCTCGCGTGCTCTCGGTGACATCTTTCTAAGTTCTTCTAAAGTATTTGTGAAACAGTAAAGTGTTTGCATCTCTGCAGCCAGCTTATGCAGTTAACAGATCAGACGGCTGCAGAGTGGGACATGAGTTTCATTGGCATCTTTTTGCAGTTATGAGGCACATCTATACGTATTTCGTGTTACAAGTATCCTAAGCCAACACTGATACTTCATGCAAGGTATAAGTGTGTCTGAGAAAAATGTTTTACAGACTGTTTTAAATGCAGGGCTCAGTGATGGCTACCATGGAGTCACCTGCGATAATGGCACTTTGCAATCCCATGCCTTCTGTCTCACCCCAGGAGCTTTCCTGGCTAAGCAAAAATGTTGGGAGTGCTGTGACAGCAAGGTCTTCGTCCTCACCCAGTGAGAGGGAAGGGGGGACAGGACCCTTATGCTGTTATGCAAGAGAGACATATCTACAGAGAAGACTGGTTTGCATCATGGAAAAGGTCATGTGGGATTTCAGAGGCAGGAAGCCAGTGGGATCCTGTCTAAATTACTTGGAAAACACCAAGGAGTTTAATAGCTTTTAAAATAATAAAAAATATTTTTCATAAGCAGCCATCCCCAAATCCAGAAATTCTTTGTGGCTAGCAAGGAGAGACAATGGGTAAAGTTACATGATGACTTATGAAACCACGTGATGCATTTTTAGGTGACTCTGCAATTTATCAGCTTGGTTTAGCTACCACATCAGTTTTGAAATTATATGTTTTTAAGTATGGAATAAAAATATATATATACACATTCTGACTAAATCCCCTTGCCCTTTCCACTGACCAGGTGCTGGTTGGTTCTGATGTCGTCCTTCCAATGCTCCATCGGGAATCCAGAGTCCTTCAGGAGAAACTGGATAGACGAGACCTGATACTTCTCTTAAGGGACACGCATAGAAACAGTCCTTTCCAGACTTTTTCCCTTGTAAGTAGATATGGCACCAGCCTATTTAATTCCTTCTTATAGTTTATTAGAATGACTCTTACCTCTTCCTTTTTCTGTACAACAGGAAAATTAGAACTGCCAAGATTACAAAGCCTAGAACTCCGAATATAGAGCCAAAGAGAATTGCTTGGTGGTTATCTGAAAAAGGGGAGAGGAAAACAAATGAGAATATGATATTCTGCCTTCAGGTAGATTTGTAACTGAATATTGTTGAAGGTGAGAGAGATTTCTAAAGGCTATAGATATCCTGCTAATGTTCTTATCTTTGTATCTAGGGAGGGGAAAAAAGAAACCACTAGACTGTAGGATTTCACCAAAATCCCTTGTGCTAAATGTCAGAACAGCTGGCTGAAGTCCAATGCAATCCAGTAAAAAATAGTGATAATGTGTAAATAATATTATGAACCTACAGAGTTGATCTACAACTTCAACGCTCACAGCTTCAACAGGAAGGTGAGTGCCCTTTTCCTAAACATCTCATTGTCTTACAGATTGCTCTCACTGTACCTGTTCATTTTTGCTTCACAGGAATAAAATTTGTTTCAAAGCTTAAATCCACAAATACGTGTTAATGGTTTTAGAGAAGACAAGATAGACGCCGCATGTTTGTTCTGCTATCCAAGAAAGTTAACATTGCTCAACTATAAATGATAAGAAACTTATCAAAAACTTATGCTAAAAAGTGTGAAAAGGTGAGATTCTGAAAATATATCACCTTTCCTAAGCTTCTGGAGGGACATGAAAGGAGCAATTCCTCAGCAACAAGAGGAAGACTGGGGAAGTGTGGATCCCTTACTGAACAGGGGAGGCAACCTAGTGACAGATGATGTGGAAAAGGCTGAAGTGCTCAATGAATTCTTTACTTCAGTCTTCACAGGCAAGGTCGACTCCCAGACTATTGCACCTGGCAGCAAAGTTTGGGGAGGAGGTGAAGAGTTGATAGCAGTGAAAGAACAGGTTAGAGACTGTCTAGAAAAGCAGGATGTGTACAAGTCCATCGGGCTAGATGCAGTGCATCTGAGGGTCTCATGGAACTGACAGGTATAATTGCAGAGCCACTGGCCATTCTCTTTGAAAACTCATGGTGGTTGGGAGAGGTCCCAGATGATCGGAAAAGGGCAACTATAGAAGAGAAGGAAGAAGGAGGATCTGGGGAACTTCAGACTGGTCAGCCTCACATCAGTCCCTGGAAAAATCATGGAGCCAGTCCTCAAGCACTTGCAGAAGAAGGTGATGAGGAACAGTCAGCACAGATTCACCAAGGGCAAGTCATGCCTGACCAACCTGACTGCCTTCTATGACAAAATGACTGGCTCTGTGGGGACAGCAGTGGGCATGATAGAGCAAGGCATTTGATATGATTTGACTTTAGCAGGGCTTTTGATATGGTCTCCCACAACATTCTTGCAAGCAAGCTAAGGAAGTACAGGTTGGATGAAAGGACTCTAAAGATGGATAGAAAACTGGCTGGATCATTGGGCCCAAAGGGTAGTAATCAACAGGGATCCTAGTTTTCTGTGGGGAAAAAAGCAGAAAATCTCCACTTAAAACACAAAAATCTGTGCTTTTCTGCAGCCTACTGAAAGCCCGGCAGCATCCTGTGACAAGTGGTGCCATTTCTGCTCTCTTATTTTTGCTGCGGTTTTTGCCTCTTGGCCAATCAGCAGCACATTTTCCCCTTCCCCGGCTGCTGATTGTGCTAGAGAAGCAATGAATCTGAGCTTTGACGCACTTATTCAATGCAGTAATTAACACAAGTCTCCCACCAAGCACCTGAAATTTCCTGTTGCTTTTTCAAGAGCTTTTTTTATCCAGTTACTCCTGAAATAACTTGTGTTTGGCTTAAAATGTATCTTCCAATGAGGAATGCCATCTTGATAAAGGGATGGAGAACTTGCTGCTTTTCTGGGTAGTTTGTTCCAAAGTCTCCTCATACTCATTGTGAAGTCTGGTTAAAATCAAAATACAGGTACTTGCCTGGCTTCAGACATTCTTGAGGGTCTCTCCTGGAGACTACCTATTGAGAACTGTTTTTCTTCAAGATAGAAAACCTGATGATGATTATTTTTTCTCCTGAAGCTTAAAAACATTTTTGAGATTTTGTCTCAGCCTTCCAAAAAAAAAAAGAAAAGGAAAAAAAGGAAGAAAAATTCCATTTACAGAGATCCAGGTCAGGAAATTAAGCTTCAAGAACCTATAGCCGTTAATAGAAGGAGTTTGTATCCATACAAAGACAAGCATATGGCATATATGAGGAGAACAAATGCACACAAGGTAAAGACGAATCTCTACAACATTGTCTTCCAAAGTTACACTTTCTGGAGAGGCTATATGCTCGTGCCTGCTCGTGTTCCACTCGCTAAGTTTCTTTTCCGGGAGTTGTTTCTTGCTCCCTGGCTGCATGCTGCTGTGTGAAGAGAAGCTGCTGTGGCAGTGGTAAGGCCTTGCACTTGGATTATAATTGGAAGCATATCGGAATAATTATTAGCAGAGAGTTTCCATGGGGACTTTAATTAAAGAAAACAATACTGAAAGCAACACTGTTCAAGTCTAACAGTTTGAAATTTCAAATACAAATTGGGATTTTGCAAAATCAATGGTGGTTTTCTTTAAGTGGCTTCCACCCCGCCCTCCAGGTTTTTTCCACCTTTTTCTTAATTACTCATTTTAATTTCTCCAATTATTGAGACATTAACATTTAGGGCTATTAACCTCCTCCGAACAAAACAAAACAAAACAACCTCCCCACCCTTTTACTAAATCTGTATTATGGAAGGTATGAACAGGTAAACTATACCAAGTTAAAGAGGATTTACCACACACAAGCCACTCTGTGGTAACTGATTCGCACATTCATCCTAGCCCACGGTAAATAGAAGCTGATCAATCATAATTTAGCAGTTGTTGCATTCAGAAGTAAACTGCCCTAGTTTAGCTTCCATTTGCCACAAGATAGAACGGACGTACGAAACAGTTACTGAAGAGCAGAGCAGCTGATGCCTGGTAACTGCCCTCCTTAGCCTTTTACTTTGGTACAATTTGTTCATCCATCCACACCCAGACCTTGGGTTTGATCTGATGATTGGCAGACATCCAGAGCAAATATACTGAGCAGGGTGCTAGGATAACATACTTCTGGAGGCTGGTATTAATCAAAGGTATCCAGAACGAATAGAAGCTTTTTAATGCCAGAGCACTCGTCACTTGGAATAGAGAGCTGGAGGTCAAACGCTTGCAGAGCACAGTGCTCAGGCCAGTGTTTAAAATGGGGGGACTGAACAGAAGAAAGCCTTTCTGCTACTGTGACTACCCATTTATCCCACAATAAGCAATCTGTGGAAACCCTCAGACGGCAGAATGGAAAGTTGCAGGATTTCCAAAGCATTCCCTTCTTTCCACCATCACCACTGTCACTGTTTTGCTTGGCCTAAGCTCTAGCCAACTGTCTTTCATCCAGATGCTGATTTTTGGCTAGTCCAAGGGATTGTGACAGAAAGGCCGGTAGTGTTGAAAATAAAAGGTGACACAGCTGGGTCCTGTCTGCCTGTGAGATGTGTTTGGGATCATCATATCAGACTGTTTCACCCAATCTTAAAAAAGGAGGGAGTGTGGGCATGCATTGAGGACTGCTCTGGTGGTGAAGGAGCATTCGCTTGCCAGCTTGGCTCGTCCAGCACTCCTCCCTAAGGTGAGACAGGGTCCCACTGCAAGCCATGGGGGGTGGGGGGGGGAGGTGTGGCAATGCTTTCCTGACTGCGTGACTGGAGGTGGCCATCCCTCATCTGTTACCAGACCTGGTACAGATGGTGGTCCAACACTTGGTAGTTTGGAGGTGGCCCTTGAGTCATTTAATTCACACGTTTATGGCATGAAGGCCCTTGATCACTCTGCTTGATCCAGTGGATGAAGACGAGGCAGGAATCTATTTCCTTGCTGTAGGGGAGGCAAATATCTGCTCTCATCACTCAGTTCAGTGACATCAGGTATGACAAGGAGCTGTTCTCCCTCTAAAATCAGTTGATCATACCAACTACTCTTGTTGGAAAATACAGATGGCCAAAATCTGTTCTTGAACCCTGCAGTTCAAATCTGTTAAGTCAGAAGTAAAACTGGTTTAGCAGGAGTGCATATCACAAACCATTGCACAATTAGAAACAGCAGGTATGAGATTGGTCCGTTTTCCCAAATCACTCTGAAGAGACCTGCCCCTAAGAAGAAAGGAAGTGTCCAGGTTGGGATGGACAGGTGAAAGCAGAACTGCATGGAGTGAAAACTGGAATAAAATGCAGGGGATGCTCAGGAATATTAGTACCGGAGGGCATTCACTGGAGTAGCTTGAGAGGAAGCTTGCATGTAGTTTGTACATTATGCTGCCTCGGCTACAGTATCCTGCTTCCTGTGGGAAAGCAGTGCTGTCCGTCTCAACTTCCCTGAGGATGGAAAAGGACCATTTTTAACTTGAATAAAAAATGAAGTAAAATACAGAGCTCTGATTAGTAGGAAAGTTGTTGTTGTATAGAAAAAGGCAAACAAACCAAAAACTTTCCGCACCCCCAAAATATATACTGAAAGACATTCATTTTGTATTTGCTTATCCATGAAACAATGGCACTGTTCCACCGTACTGAGCAGAGCTAATTTCTGAATGTTTTCCAGTTTGCTTTCCCTTTGATCTTCCAGCATTGGCTTTTTGCCTCTCTCTAGCATAAATGCTAACATCCAGTTTGCTTATTGAGACTAACTGGCTCTTGTCCAACAGGCATGTGGTTGATGGCAGGAACAGACAATTGTCTTATTTTGCAGTTTCACAAAACATTTCACCGCTGAGTCTTTGCTTAAGCTTTTGCTTTTCTTTGTGAAGACTTCATTCCATTCTGGGCTTTGAAGGAAGCGCCTTTACTCCTATGAACACAGAAATGTGCCACCATTCCTAGTTACATCTCACGTTTCTGAAGCATTTATATTTCAGAATGTTTACCATTGTACTATAATGGCCCAGAAGCAAGGTTTTATTGGTGATATCATTTATTCAACAAACTGTATAGTTGAGAGAGATGTTAAACAAGCTTTTGGCCACAAGTTGCCCTATATTCAGGTCTGGGCAGGTCTGGGCAGACCAGGGCACGCCACCATAATAACAAGCTAAAATAGCCCAGTCTTTCCAGTTTCACTCCCTACAGGCAACAGTAGAGTTACTGCTGGTATCAGTTTTGCAGACGCAAGCATCTGCCGATAGATACGTCACTATTGCTGGGTGAATCCTGCAGAGGAGGCATTCCAGCGCTGTTCATTGTCAGAGTCTGAAATCCAGGTAGTTAGACGGTGCCCACATCTTTCCAGTACTTGCGCTCCACGTGTATGTTAAACTTCCTTCTGCTCATAAGAGGCCTGTGCTGCCACTCTGGCTCGTGTGGCAGGACTTGTCGGTATTGATAGCTGTATTAGTACCACGAGGACCGGTCCATTCACTATTCAGGAACTAGTCGATGATAAACTTTTGTGCTTTTTTTGTTTGTGAATTCATAAAATTACAGAAAATGAAAGCTGGGAGGGACCTCTGGAGGTCATATCAGGTCCATCCCCCTGCTCAAAGCAGGACTGTCCCCAGTGATCTCATCCCAGGCCAGGCTTTGTCTAGCTGAGTCTTAAAAGCCTCCAAGGATGGAGATTCCACAACTTCTCTGGGTAGAGGAGACTTGGTTTCAAGAATTTGCTGTCGTCACTTAATTGCTGAATATTTGCAAAGAAATGTGCTCAGGCTTTCGAAAGGCCTGTTTACACCTAATGCTTTGCTGGGTGGTGCTGACGCTCTGGAACAGTGCCGCCCTGTGGAGGTTTGACACGTGTCCTAGCTGTGACTGACTCCCTCCAGCTTATTTTTGTGTACAGGATGAGACAATTTAGCACCGGACCATAGGTAGTATGGGGCAAATGGCAAAGATAAATGGTGTTAAGATGGTGTAGGCTGGAGAAGTGAAAGCATTCCCTCCCCAGGCCCCAAACAGGAAGACAATCTCCCAAACAGAAGTGGAGACCATGTGCAAACAATACCTGGGCAGCTGCACACAGAATGCACGATCACCATGAATGCCAGGCAGTCACTGACTTGGTGATTTTGATGAGCTGATACCCAGTGCACTCGTGAGCGGGTAGAGGGGCTGCCAACACGGTCCTGCTTGGACACTGAGGGTATGTCTACACTGCTTCCAACTGCACTAGGGAGACCCACACGCTCATGCTCTGCACATGCCGATTTACAAAGAATATGATGCTGCTGCTGCTGTTAGAGAGGGGCTGGGCACAGCCCGCAAGCAAACCTGAGATGGAAAGCCTGGGAGTATGAGCCTGGGCCCATGCAACCAGCAGCTCTGGTAGCTTTTCCAGTATGTGGTTAGGCAGAGCAGGAACCATGGGTGGGGTGTGTGTTCATAGCAGCACTCCCAAATCAGTCTGGGAGTAGTGTAGCCATGCTGTAAGAGGCACAAGCAAATGGGGGTGGATATATTTTAAGGTGGATTTGAAAAAAGGAGAGCAAGTGAGATTCGGAGATGCGGGGAAGCTGTTGCAAGTGGCAGGAGAGACTGAGGCTAAGAGTATTCTGAAAACGCAGAAGGATGGAGGAGGCTGCGTCTAGGTATGTGGAGAGAGAAATGATGGAAGCAGAGAGAAAGGCAGAACCGCCGCTGATTCTTACAACAGGATTTCGCCTGCTGCTCCTATCCTGAAGCATTTGTAGTGTTGCTGAAGTGACATTAGAAAAGCCTAATCAGACTGCTCGTTATACAAAGCTGCCGCATTTTTATGTTGCATGGCTACTACAGTTGTGGGGCGAGGTGGGCACGCTGGAGGGGAGGGACAGAATCCAGCTAGATCTAGATGGGTTACAGGGGTGGGCGGATGAGAATAGGGTGGAGTTCAATGCAGACAAGTGCAAGGTGCTGCATCTAGGGAGAAGGAACCAGCAACACCCCCATAGTTTGGGGAACACCCGTCTTGTCAACACGGTGCCAGCAAGGGATCTTGGAGTCATTGTTGACTCTGGGATGGTCATGAGCCACCAATGCGAGGAAGCGGTCAGTAAGGCTAGCTGCACCTTGTCGTGCATCTACAGATGCATCACAAGCAGGTCCGGGGAGGTGATCCTCCCCCTCTATGCGGCACTGGTCAGGCCGCAGCTGGAGTACTGCTTCCAGTTCTAGGTGTTGCACTTCAGGAGGGATGTGGACAACATGGAGAGGGTCCAGAGGAGGCCGCCGGCTTGGTCCAGAGGCAGCGGGGCAGGCCCTACAAGGAGAGGCTAAAGTTTTCAGCCTCCACAAGAGAAGGCTGAGCGGGGATCTGGTGGGTGTTTACAAACTCACCAGGGGGGACCAGCAGCAACTGGGGGAGGCTCTGCTGCCCTGGGCACCACCTGGGGTTACTAGGAGTTACGGCCACAAGTTGTTAGAGAGACGGTTCAGGCTGGACACCAGGAGACATTACTGCACAATTAGGGCTGCCAGGCTCTGGACTGGGCTGCCAAGGGAGGCGGTGCTCTCCCCTGCTTTGAGGGTCTTCAAGAGGAGGCTGGACAGATATTTGGCTGGGGTGATATGATCCCGGCACCCGTTCCTGTCTGGGGCAGGGGGTTGGACCTGACGATCTGATTAGGTCCCTTCCAACCCCAAGTACTGTGATACTATGATACAGCATGACTCTACAGACCAAACGAGTGATGACTTCTTGTGCTTAAAATCTAAATTGGGCATAAGGCAGCAGGGTAACAACAAAACAGGCAGGTACTTCCTTTGTGTCTGGAAAGCACCTAGAACTCTGTTGATGTGTCGGCATCCGCACGCTATATTTAATTTAAAAACCTGTTACGCAATTATTAAGGTAACGAAATAAGGAACTAAAAATCAAGCCATGCTGATGATTAAATGTGTGTGGAATCTTAATTCCACCTTCTGTAAAAGTTTTTTAATTGCACAATGCATTTTCCACTATGGTTATTAATGTGGTAAGAATGAGTTTAAAACCATATTTTAGAGCATTTACTCAGGAAGCATTTGACTTTAATTCCTTTAGGCCATAGGCTCTTGTGACAGGCCACTTTGTTAAGAACCAGGCCCAAGGGTGATCATATGCACAGCGTATATGCTTGGCAATATTAGACACATTTGATGATAGAGATAATTGACAGCTCTTCTGAATTAAGCATGTCTTTGCAGTACATCTGCTTTCTAGTTTTCTAGCTTCTGTCAAGCACTTCTCTTGCTGTGGTTTTTTGGTACTGCTTTTTCCTGAGATGGCCATGCCTGCATGAACAGTTTGTATCCACAGCTGGGGACACTTTAGAAAACATACATACCTGTGCTTGGCAAACAGCTGGCTGCTTTCCCTGACCAGGCCCCCGTCAACTGGCAGGTTCTTTCTTCTGACCCAGCCAGGCTGTACCCTGGGTCACAGCTGAACTGGACAGTTGAGCCCATCAGGTAGTTTGTCCCTTCCTTTCTCCCGTTGGTAGGGTGATCCAGCCAGCCGCAAGAGACCACTAAGGGAAGAGAGCTGTGTTACGAATGCCTGTCAGAGTCTGCCTGACAAGCTGATCCCACAGCGAGTCATGTGGTGATTTAAACATAACTGGGAAAAGGACAGGAGACGTTAAGTCTAACAGAGCTACCAGAGTGAAGCAGCGTACTGGCCCTAGCAACCTGAGTGTCTAAGATGGAGAGGGACCTGTAGAGCAGCTCTCTGCTTGGTCTCTTTCTCCTGCATTGCCCTTCTGAGGCAGTAACTCCCAACATGTCAAGACACCTAGCGCTGGATCCGGGACTCTACCTTGAGGACCAGGTTTCTAAAAAGTAGGCCTTTGACTTGTAGCTCTGGTCCCACAGTGCACAAAGCACCTTGCTGCAATGGAGGATAGTTCCTCCTGGTGAGACTCTTTCCTTCCGCCCCCTCATCCTCGGGAAGTCACATGCAGCTGCTCCGATCTTCAGGGGTCCCTACACTGAATCGTGGTGGGGTGCTGTGGTGATAATGGATGCTGTGTCCTCTGTCCGGGTGCTGCCCTGATCAGGGCTACCTCACCTGGCTGCAGACTCTCCACCAACGCTTTGTGATTCTGATGGGATATTCTGGTAGCGTTTCCCACCTCAAGGCTTCTGGTTGTCAACACATCAAACCTGCAGAAAGGGTCTGAGTCACAAAGCGTGGTCATCTGTGGCACCAGGGGGTCGGTGGGGTCTTCATGAGGAACAAACACTGGTAGGAAGGAAGAGTTGTGCTTTGGCCCGTAGAAGGTGTTCAGTAAGAACTGCGTGTCATAAGTAAAGAGAGAAGTTTCGTTGCCAACAGCCCCTAAGGAGACAGAAAGGCATGTGTTATATGTGTAAATTTATCTACAGCGCAATTAAGAATGCGCTTTCTCTTATAGCCAACATCATTCTTTGCATAAGTTTCAATATGAGGCACTGTAAAATACACATGGGAAAGGCTGTTAATGGAAGTGTTTTATACATTACTATTTAAATACCGGCACTGCTGTTGAAGTTAAGGTTATGTGGGACCCTTTCTTGTAAGGCCTTTGGCATACTATTGTCATTGTAAAAATTCCTTTTTTGGAGTTGAAACTTTCCAGGCTTGCTACTAATCCACAATATATCTTAGGAAAAAAATCAGTTCTGTGGTAAAATCAGTGGAGGGGGCTTTTTTCCCTTACCTGTAGTTTTAAAGAGAAACCCAATACTTGGTCCTAGCACTGTATGCTCAGTAATTACCTGTTGGACAGTCTGACTATGAGTTGCAGCAATCAGATATGTCATGTGAGCATGTGATGTCCTTCCCTCCCCGCACCCGGCAGAAATCCTTGTCACCCAGACTGTCCAAAACAACACCATCTTCTATTAATTCATATCCAATACCTAGAGATGATGAGACGTATTAGACTGCATCTAACTCATCTCCTTCTTTGACAGGATTATTCCCCTTTTTAACTTTCATTGTTATTTAGTATTTGTGTTGCCATAGCCCATAGATTAGTGCTTGGTTCAGCCTAATTATAAATAGGCCAAATAACATTGCATTTATCTCTCCGGAGAATGGTAGAAAAGTTTATTAGATGTCTGTTGATGTCATAGTGATAAGAAATAATTTCATAGATTTCATAGCCATTTGGGCTGGAAGGGACCCCGGAGGATCATCGAGTCTAGCCCCCTGCCCCAGGGGCAGGAAGTCAGCAGGGATTATAGGATCCCAGCAAGGTAAGCATCCAAATGTGTTTTAAAGGCGTTCAAAGTGGGCGCTTGAACCGCCTCCAGCGGCTGTCTGTCCCAGACCTTGGGGGCTCGGACAGTGAAGAAGTTCTTTCTTGTGTCCAGCCTGAACCGGTCACAGTGGAGTTTGTGACCGTTCGACCTCGTCATCCCTTGGGGCGCTCTGGTGAACAGTCGTTCCCCCAGATCCTGGTGGTCACCCCGATAGGCTTATAGGTGGCCGCCAGATCACCCCTGAGCCTACGCTTTTCCAGGCTGAATAGCCCCACGGCTCTCAGCCTGTCGTCGTAAGGTCTGTTTTCCTGACCTCTGATCACGCGTGTGGCTCTTCTCTGCACCCTCTCAAGCTTCCCCACATCCTTTTTGAATTGTGGAGCCCAAAACTTGACGCAGTACTCCAGCCGCGGCCTCACCAAGGCCGAGTACAGGGGGAGAATGACGTCCCAGGATTTGCTTGAGAAGCATCTATGGATGCAAGCCAGCATTTTGGTCGCTTTACTAGCCGCAGCATCACACCGAAGGCTCATGTTCATCTTGTGGTCAACCGTGACCCCCGAGTCCCTTTCATCTGTAGAGTTAACCAGCGTAGCACTGCCGAGCCTATAAGGATGGTGCAGGTTTTTCCTCCCAAGGTGGAGAACCTTGCATTTTTTGGTGTTGAACACCATCAGGTTCTCGTCCGCCCATTTCATAAGTCTGTCCAGATCCACCTGGATCACCCTCCTGTCCTCAGGTGTGGGTGCTATACCCCAGAGTTTGGTGTCGCCGGCAAACTTGGTAACTTAGGTTTTATCAAATTAAAACAGGGATTGTCAACTGGGGGTACGTGTACCCCGGGGGTACTTGAGAAGGCCCTAGGGGGTATGCGTGGGCAGGTGGGGCGGAGCGCTGCCACACACCAGCCTGCGCAGGCACTGCCTGCCTGGCTGGATGCGGGGGGCGGGAGAAGGTTGCACATGGTGGCTGCCACCTCTCTGCCTTCGGCTGCGCGCTACCCCCTCCCCCCACCTCCCTGCTCAGTGTCTGGCCCCCAGGGGTACACTGACTCAAAAAGGTTGAAAACCTCTGAATTAAACATTCAAAAACAAAACCTCCTTGGAGCTATCTCTTTGCTCTAAGTTTCTTGGGGTGACCTGTCTTAATGCCTTGAGAGATGGAAAGCTTGTTGTAGGAGGAAGGGGTCTGTTTGAGCTGTGCTTGATAAAGGCCCCAACAAGTGGCAAAGTGAGGAGGTTTTAGGCCACTATCCCCTGACCTCCCACATCCTCCATCCCCGGCATCATTTACTCTTGTTGGCATTTAGGCCAGAAAGGCTTTGTGCCTTAGAGATGCTTGTCTGGGCATTTCCATCGAATGGAAGCTGTCCTCCTCTGACTGTTTTACCTAATGCAAATGGTGTGTTTGCAGTCTGTGAATCTTCAGCTAACACAACCCTGTAGTTACATACTTTACTGTCAGAAGTATGATTTATCTGAATGGACTCACGGCTCACATCCTGAGGAAAGGGGATGACTAACCCTGGAGTTGTTACGTTTCTGTGGCCATTCTTTATTTCCTGCTGTCTCTTGTTGGGTGTCCAACGCTTCAGCATCCCAGAATGCCAGGAGGTAGGAAATGCGCCTGTCTGGGGACAAATGCAGTGAAGGAAGGCCGGTGGTGCTGGTTACAGGTCTGCCTGTGTGACTGCCCATTCCAAGCATGGGAGGAGGCACGCGCCTCTTCCTGACGGGCACTTCAGAGAAGAGCTCATTGTTCACTCTCTACAAATAATAATTGGCGTTGATTTTTTTCTGAAGTGATTATTCAGAGAAATGAGAATGGAGTAACAGGACTGAAAAAACCCCACTTACAGTCAGCTCCAAATGCAAACAGCTGCTGTGGACTGGCATCAAGCGGCATGGTTGTCCCATTTCTGAAGGTGTACTCATCCCCTGGATTGTCGTTCATTACCCCCAAGAGGCCCCGGGTCTGATTCATGAATTTTTCTGGCAGCAGGACTGTCAGGCTTAAGAAACCTCCTCGGCCTCTCGCCTCCACGCCAGCCCCTGAGGAGAACATCGCTGTGACGTTCTGACCCGCTGCAGAATAGAGGAAGAGGCCTGGGACGGAGAGAGAGATTGCACACGTATGACCGTCTGCAACAACCACCCCATTATATACTGGCCACAGAAAAGTTCCCCGTGAGGGAAAACTACCAGTTCCACAGTCGACTTTCAGTCGTGCTTAGACTGTGTGTTAACCTGCTGCAATGGGTAACCAGGTGGTCTTGACTGTGGAGTACACTGCAGCCAAGACCAATATGACTGCAGTAAATGCACTCATATTGCCTCATAGCCTCTCTTTGCAGAGGATTAATGAGCGTGGTCATGGGGCAGGCTGGAAGATCTTGGGGCATGGGTGGGGGAGAAGGGAATCGAGTTGTTTGAACACCTTGCTGGGGTCGTTTGACCCCAGTACTCTTTCCTGCCATGGCAGGGGTCAGACTTCATGATCTGCTCAGGTCCCTTCCGACCCGACCAACTATGAAACTATGAGTGTTGGCTACCCATTATATTTTGATTGATGTGTCTGATCCTGGCCCTTTGGGACAAAAGTGGATGGAGGAGCAAGGAGCTCTCACTCCATTTTCCTTCATGTGGAGGCAAGTCGCTGTTCCTCCATGAGTCTCTGGGGACACAACAACTCACCCCTAACAGGACGGGGGGAGCAGGGGCCTGAGTCCCAGTTCCTCTGCTGTCACCTGCGTGCCCTGCCTGCACTGCAGCAGGCTCAGGGAAGGGCTGTGCTCTTGGAGGCACTACTGCCGTGCTTGGTGTTCTTCATGGGGCCAGTCCAGACAAGTGTCACTGGGGCAGAGGGAGTGACCATGGCTGCGCAGAAAAAACACCATAGCCCTACAGGCCGGTACAGCTATGGGAATCAGTCACGTGGCACCATCCGGAATCCCAGCTGTAACATACAGATAGGATGGAGCGCCATCGTGGTGACCCAGGCCTCAGCTCTTTTTGCAGCTTTTTGGGCTGGTGCCCACGCCCTGCTTAGGCCCCTGCCTTTCCTTTTAGCCCCCAGCACCATCAGCCTCAGAGGGACAGGTTAAGCAAGAAAACACATTGGTTGGGATGCTGTGGGCCAGCCATGCTTGCTCCTCACATCCTCCCCACAGTGAGTTGCAGGTGCCACCTTCACCACTGAGCAGAAAGCAGGGATTGGAAGCATTTACAGCCAGTGCAACCTTTCACCACACAAGGGTCAGGTAGGACTGAAAAATGTGACCTCAACAAAAGCAGAGCAGGGGCAGACGCCCATCCATTGGTCTGACCTTTCAAATCCATCCACCTTTGCTCAGAAAAGTTGAGCACCTCCTGGTTCAGCAGCACCTCCAGGGTCGAGTACTCCGAGCAGCGTACCTCGATCACATCAGAGTTACTCTCCTGCATGGCCACAGCAGACAAGCCTGTTACCTGTGCCGCCATTCCTTGCAAACGACAACAAGATCAAATAAAAACAGTGCCCCAAGCCCCATGCGGAGCACGCTAAGCACCCCAAAGGTTGCAAAATATAGACTCTAGTAAAAGTGATTACGTATAATCAAAATTGATTTGAGGCCTGTCAGGCTTATATTTAAACACATAAAAACCTTCCTTCTGCTACTAATATTAATCTATGTTCAGGCTGAACCACTAAGCATTCAAAAATCGGGAACGCCAGCCCTCTCCCCAGATCTCAGACTCCAATGGTAGGCACAGAGCTAAGTCAGAAGAGTAACTGCAACCCCTTACATGTGTGCAGTCTTTGAGTGGAGCCTCAGACAACTGCAGCCAAGGCAATGTATTTGTTAAGGAAATTATGTAGTTGAAAGGGCTGGGGAGGAACCAGGACCAGGCAGTGCCTCTCCGCATCAGTCCCATCCAGAACGGGCTGCTCTTGGGCTCTGTAGGTCTGTGAAGGTTCTCGTCTATTCTCAAAGGTTTTCCTTGGCTCTCCCTATTTTCCCCACTGCTGGTTATTAACGTTAAGAGATCCTAGGTCTTGTTCAGTATAATCTTTCCATCTTCTCCTTTGTTGTCTTTCAGATCAAACACCATTGGAACTGGCCCCCAAAGGAGAGATTTAGCTAGTCTGTGACGTGGTATTGTAACCACAAGTCCCACTTGCCATATGTCACTGTATTTGCTTTACCTGGCTCTTCACAGACATCCCACAATTCCCTCTTTCTTTTTTCCACACATGATTTCTTCCTTCCTGGCTCCAAATGTCATCTCAGTTCTTTATTTTTAAAGGCATTTACTTATGTTGTATTACTTTGTACTAAGTGTCCATGTTTCACATTCATTTAAAGCAGTAAGTCTTTTGGGGGGTATATCTGATCCTTTCTTTTTCTGTAGTTGTTTGGAGCTAAAAATTCTCTGCATAAAAAGATAAAAAAGCATTTCTGCCCTATACCTTACTCTTCCCTTAACAGATTATCATTAGTAATTAATGACCTTAGCTTTTAATTCCCTAATTTGCTTTTATTGATATAATTTACTGATAGATGGGCTTGTCCAAAATGTTTTCACTGCCTTATATTATCTTTCTTGCTCTTATGTTCTGTCTTCCTTGCTGCTTCAACTATCCAGCCATCCTTTGCTACTATATCCCCTCTCTTTCCAGTGACAGCTGCATCAGCTCATCACAGCTTATCACACGAAAGGCTGGTGCAAGCCATTTAGAGTGCGAGAGTTTTACTCTGAGCATGCCACTTTTTGATAGCCTTAATCCTGAATTGATGTTAGATGGGACAGAACTATAACTCTCGTACTTTATTTTTTAAATCTCATACAAAAGTGTGAACCATCCTAATCATTTTATCAAGAATCCTGTCTTTTTTTCATGGTAACTTAAGAGTTGAAGTGGGGCATGTGGGAATCGGTTAAGGATGAGGAGAGGATAGAGGTCTGGTTTCCATATTCAGAACCGAACCAAACCGTCTAACCCAAGAATTGCCTTGGTCAGCGCTGCTGTCTCTCTCACCAACTTACCGCTGGGAAGTCTGGTAGGCTGCGTCCTCCCTTGTACTCTTAGAGATGTCAGATTGGACTCCACCAGTGTGTATTCCCCATGGCCCTTGAATGTGAAGTTCAGCCCATCGAATGTGAGGAAGTGCGGGTCCCCAAAGGCAGATGCTGCATCATATACATGAGTTAAGCAGTTAAATAAACCCCAGGAAATCAGGGATAGTGATGTGCTCCCGGTTTATGAGGCACAGCCATTGCTGCAAGGCCGCACAGACTGGGGCCCAGGACAGGTTCTTAAGAGTGTAGTGCCCTTCACCCTGCCCCTCCACCCAGCACCCTGGCTGCAGACCATTTTGGTTTCTTATTTAAGCAGAAGTAGTCTAGTCCCATTACAGCCTACCATCCACAGAAAAATTAGTCGGCGTTATGCACAAGCCGTTCATGACCCTTTAGGAAAACCAGCTTGTCCAGGCCCTGGGAATGCCCAGGACCACATTCATGGATGCCTCCCTGCCATAGGCAGCACTGTCAGGTCACTCGCAGGTGGCAAAAAGCACTGGGAACTGTCTGGCAAACTCTGCCTTGTTCCTAAAGGCTCACGCGGAAACCCAGAGTCCAGGATCCCTGGGAGCAGAGTCGAAGTGCAGCCCTTGCCACTGCCAAAGAAGTCTTGTGGCAATCTGTTGGCGGGCGCCGGTGCTGGGGCCACTGCTGGCCAGTTCTGACCGGCATGGTGGGCTCCAGACTCTGACAGTGCTGCTGAGACCAGACGGGTAAATCCCTTCTCATGAAGCTCCTTCTCTGAGACAGGGGCTCGGTGACGTCCTTACCAGCTCGAGGGGGGCGGTAAGTCCTGCAGTCGCTGGAGGGCCGGCGCTTCATGTACAGGTGGCAGTTGCCAGACCACAGGCAGCAGTAATAGAAGCTGATGACGTCGTAAAGCCAATGGGAAAAGCCGGGAATCCTGGGAGGCCTTTTGAAAGGCGGAGAACCCCAGTCGTGGCCTCGATCAGGTGTGCTGCCCCCTGTGGAGTCCCCCGTGAGGATTTGGGTACCTGTCGAGTCATAGCAGCACTGCTGCCCAGACGCATACTGTGGGCTGGTGGGAGAAATGCAGGGAGAAATAGGATTCAGCATTTCACTCTGTAAGAAATGTTTGAGTCTGGAGCTCGGAAGGAGTCTCTAGTTCACAAAGAGACAGAAAGGGATGTTTCTATTCAGCTCATCTGCACTGAAAAGTTGAACCGGATTAAAAAGAACTGATTTTAAATTGATCTAATTAAATAGATGAAAACAGCAGCTTACAGAATTAAGCTAAATTGATACAGGCAAGGCTGAAATAATTAAATTGTGTCTGCTTTAGGGGTTTATACTAGTTTAATTGTATTTAATATTTTTAAATGTATTTAAACTGGGGCAGTTATCTGGTGTGGACAAGGCTATAATGACTTGCTCTCAGCATAGAGGAACTACCAACGAATAGGAGAAGAACAGAGGCTACTGCTGCAAAAGAGTTCCGGATCCAGGCAAAAAATACTCTATATGCCTGGAACATAAATAAGGCCTAAATTGCACCTGAGCGAGCACTGGGTAAGTAACTTAATGACACATAGAACTTCATGTTTGGGATGGCAAGGGGAGAAGAGCTGTCCTGCTTGGTGTTTAACTGCTGCTAACAATAAAGAGTACACAGTGCATGTCCAGGAAGGAAACCTGAGGATTTTCCAACATGATTATAACAGCTTAACGGCAACTCATATTTACGGTCTTGAACAGTTTAGCACTATTCTATCAAATACTAGCTGAGAGAGAACGAGGTCTCTACCTGGCCTGAATTCCCCGTACACAGTGCACAGCTCCAGGATGGTAAGTGCATTCGCTTCCCTTTTCAATGTCACACCCGTAGTCGGTCTGAAAGAGAAAATGTTTGTACTTTTGAAGCATCTTGTTTTATGTGTTTTCTGTTTTCTTCCTTTTTTTGCTTTGTTTTATTTTGTTTAACGGCATACAGATATGCTAGATGCTGGCCATAACTCCATAGTTCAGATTAACTACCAAAGGCCTTTTATAAATTTTATTTGACACCATCTGATGAAGTGAAGCTTGTGCTTTCACTCTTTCTATATATATCTGTGGAGGCGCATATCTACCCTTTCTTCTTATTTGACTCCTGTGCTAGTTTTTCACTGGAACAAAGATTAACATGGTTTTTGGTCAGATCTTTCTGTGGTAAATTTAAACTAAAAGGAGAGATTCCTACTAGAGTTTCAACTATGTAAAATAAACAGTTTTTAGAGCGTCAAACAATATCCCATATTTTTCAACCACTTCTTCCTTATAAGTAGAACATGCTACAAAGCCACAGGCATGAAGGTCCATTTTGCTTCTTCAAGATTTACAGAAGAGACGCAAGTTGTTTCTTCTTAAAAAAACAAAAAAGGTGCATGTGTTGAGAATTTGGCTTGTGTCTTACATTAAAAATTTAAATTTTGTCTGCCATGGAAAACTGAAAGAAATAGAAGCATAGTTTAAACTCAGAAATTGTGTAAGAGCAGTTGAGAAGGGAAAGAACTTTTGGTCAGGCTGTTAAATGTTTTTTGCATTCGACTTAATAACATACCCATCTGATTTTAGGGATGAGAGTTCACAACGTATCAAAGACATCTAGGGGAGCTTCCAGCTGACCCAGGGTGGTACCTATTTATGGCTTTCTGTATTGAAACAGTTTTTCTAATTGGATCTTTCAGGCCTTCCTCATCCATCATAAAGAACCCTCCTTTTTAAACCCCGTAGCAGTCCACCTCTGTTATTGCTATAGACTGTTCTGCTAGCACCACTCATTCATAAAGTTACCCAACACTTCCTATTATCAAACCCTAGGAAATTAGAAGTACATGAGAAGGGGGAAATCTTTACCTGGTTAGGTTAAATATTCTTTATTATATTTGGGCACGGTACTTCAAGAGGGATGTGGACGACCTCGAGAAGGTGCAGAGGAGGGCCACCCATATGGTTAGGGGCCTGCAGGCAGAACCCTATGAGGAGAGACTGAGGAACCTGGATCTCTTCAGCCTCCGCAAGAGAAGGCTGAGAAGTGATCTTGTGGCTGCCTACAAATCCATCGGGGTGGGCAGCAAGGAATAGGAGATGCTCTGTTTACCAGGGCACCCCTTAGAGTAACTAGAAACAATGGCCACAAACTGACAGAGAGCAGGTTTAGGTTGGACATCAGGACAAACTTCTTTACGGTAAGGGTTGCCAGAATCTGGAATGGGCTTCCTAGGGAGGAGGTGCTCTATCCTGCCTTGGGGGTCTTTAAGAGGAGGCTAAACAGGCACCTGGCTGGGGTTGTCTGACCCCAGTGCTCGTTCCTGTCCAAGGCAGGAGGTCGGACTTGATGATCTGCTAAGGTCCCTTCCAGCCCAAACATCTATGAATCTGTGTCTGCCTCAATTCAGCTGTTTCTAAGAACAAGGATACAGAAAAATACTTTGCCCAGGTTAAACTTGTCTTTGAACAGCTCAGTCTACCCCCATCCTTTGCAGCCAAAACATTACATGTGGCAAAATAGCTGTTGTCAATTAGCCTATTTCTCTCTCCATGAAAATGCACCTGAATATGGCCAAAGTTAGCAAAGGTTCCCAATACATTTATCAAGTTGAGAGGGGTGGTGGTGGTATATTGAAAAAATGGCAAATGTAGTCTTTATATTTGGAGTCCAGTAAAGTAACCTCAATAATTCACAGGGTTTTAGATCTGATTTTGAAAGAAAAAAAAATAAAGATCCTGAAAGTGAATGGAAAATGGGATATAATGCAACATGGATTTACCAAAGGTAAGTCGTACCATACTAACTTAATTAAATGCTACGTCCTTGATTTTAGACAAGCCAAATATGATAGCTATGTTCTGTATGGACTGTAGTTACCAGACTGGGCTAAAAAAATTGTTGTGAGTAAGGAACTAGCCAAAGGAGGTGGAGGGAGAGACAGTAAGCTCTGCTATAAAGAGAAATAGGGCTGTTGAGATAGATGGAGTTTACTAATGAATTCCTTGCAGTTCTATCTTGTGGCCCACCTTCTTGAGTATTTTCATTAACATCTTTGGCATAGAAAGCAGGAAAACTCCTTATTAACTGTCACTTTTTACTCACATGGCCTGAATTAGCCTCTTCTTTGACCTCTTGCCACGACTCATATGTCATTTCAAATGCAACTTACTTTTATTTCATTTTAAGTATAAATACTGTTTCGTCTGTAAAAGCTCCTGCATGTCCTGGTAGAAACACTGAGCTGCATTGCCCTGCTGCTGACTTACGTGGAACCTGCCAGTGTCGGCCCTTGCCTGTGCCAGCGTGCAGGGGCAATCTGCTACCTCCTTCAGGAAGTTAGGGAGTCTCTCCTCTCCCAGGTCCCACTTTAGACACTTGTCTGTCGCCCAGGCAGCTGCATCCTTCCTGAAGTCTTCTCCAAGGTGCCAGGCCAGGGCATGCTCTGAGCTCCAGAGTGCAGGAATGTTGCTGAAGAAGACAGAAAAATACCGCAGTAGGGGAGGTGTTATGAAAACCTTGACCGGCCAAAAGTTTGGTTTGGTTATAATGGCTGCTTCATTAAGTTCCTGCCAGTTTTTGCTACCAGTTTCCTACCTCAGACTTATAGCAAGTAAGCAGATAGCGTTACAGAGTTTATAGTCCCAGATTAAACTGATTTTAAAGAGCAGTAGTCTAATGCTGAAGTGAGTAAATGCCCTTCCTGGGAGGAGATTGCCTCATGGTTGGTTGTTCTGCTGGTATGGTGTTTTGAAACTGTTCTATGTCTGGACACACGTTCATTGGTCTGTAGTTCTGACAGACCTTATGCTTAATGGCTGTAGCAGGCTTTGGCCTCTGCATATCTCTCTGCCTTTTATCTGTTACACTTTCCATCGGTTCTGGTTGCAATAATTGAGGGTAATAGGCCCCAAAGTACATGTGTATTATGACATTAAACAATATGGCTGGATGGCAGTACTATGGAAAAGGACTTGGGAGTCTTGGTAGACCACAGACTCAATATGAGTCTGTAGTGTGATGCAGCTGTGCAAAAGGCAGATGTACTTTTGAGCTGCATCAGGTGCAAGACATGGGAGGTGATAGTGCCTCTCTATTCCGCACTGGTTAAGCCTTATCTGGAATACCATGTGCAGTTCTGGACTCCACATTTTAAAAAGGACACGGAGAAGTTAGAGATGATCCAGAGGTGGGCAACAAAGGTGAGAGAGGGTTTGGAAAACAAGTCAGACGAGGAGAGGCTGAAGGAGCTGGGCATGTTCATCTTGTGGAAAAGGTGCTTAAGAAGGGACATGACAGTAGTCCTCAAATACTTGAAGGGCTGCCATAAGGAAGAGGGAAAGTGTCTGTTCTGTCTTGCTGACGAGAGGAGGAGGTGGACCAGTGGCTTGAAGTTGTAGCAAAGTAAGTTAGATAGGATATCTGGAGGAAATGTCACTGTTAGAATAGAGAGTCAGTGGAATAGACTGGCTAGGGGAGCTGTGGATTCTCCATGACCAAAGGTATTCAAGAAAAGGTTGGATTGACACTGGTTGAGGAGGATCGTAGGTATGCCTGTGTTCTACCATGGAGATTTCCCACGCTTCTAGACACTGCTGGTTTGCTCACTACCCAGCATCTCTGGCTTCCCAGATGCAGGGTTCTTCTCTAGATTGGCTAATGTGTTTTGCAGAGGGCTCCTGTAGTCAGTGATCTGGGTATTATGATCTGATTGCCTTTGTCAGTGGCACTGTCTTGTGCAGTCAGCTCACCTCACCATCACCAGGAGCAGGTGGGGTTTCTCTCCTGACATCTTGCTGTCCAAATAGAAAGGCAGAGTTAAACTAGTGTAAATCTCTGTCCTGAGTTTGTTCTCAAGGCTGGCACAGACCTGAGCTGATCAATGCCTCCTAGTTCCTTTTTGGGACTTCTGTATTTGTAGCAGATAAATCCCTTTCTTGCCCACGTGACATATCCAGAACAGCATTGTAGCAAGAAAATAAGATGTTGGCAATATACACTGGCTCTTTCCCTGTAGAAGGTGTCTCGTCTACAGCACTTCCCTGTCAGTCACATGTGCTACAGAGGCTTTTAAAAAATGCTCTCTGGTGATTTATAGTCACCCTCCTCAGACACGAGTGGATCTTTTCACATGAGGATGCAGTGGCAAGAAACGTCTTTTAAATATGAACATATCTTTGTTTTACTGGTGATCATGCCACAAGTGGGAAAACTACTGGCTGCCCCTTCTGTAGGAGTAATTCCCCAGACTGTCTCATTATCCTCACACTGCATGCAAGCCTCTTCAATTACATTGTAGTATTTTAGCTCTTTGACACCTTACCAGGAGAGCAACCTGCATATGAAGTCTTCTGCAATAACTGTGGGAGATAAATCAATGCGCTAAAGCTTTCAGAGAAGAAAAGTGAAAGATGAGATCGTGCCATTCCTAGGAAGCAAGCAGTAACTCGGGTGATAAAATTTTGCACGTATGTGACATCAGTACAGTGCAAAACATCAAAAATAAATGGTTTGCAAACTTCAGACTATGATCAGATGTGAAAACAAGGCAGGATAACACAAAGAAACAGGAAAAGAAATTGCTGGATCAACAGTGGGGCTTTAAGGAGCATGCAAGCCTACAAACAGACTTCTTCAGCATTATGCCAGAGAAGAAAGCGAAATTCCAGTCATAATTTTAATTTGGCTTTGCTTAAAGGCACGATCATATTACCAGTGTGATCATGTCAATTACAGGAAGAACAGCATGGAAAAGTATATAGGCTGAAACACCAGGGAACGCAAACGTTGCCAGCCACTGCTTCCTGCTAAAATAAATTCATGCATGTAGCAATGCTAAACCTGGAAAATAGTAGTCAAACAAAAAAATACAGGTAAAGCAGATGATACACCCCAGGACCTTTGCTGCTACATTTTTCAAAACCCACTTTGTAATTAATTTTAACCCAACTATTTTTACATTTTAAATTCTCAGAAAATGCATCTTTTTGCTAAAGATCAGGATTTGCTGGATTTAGTGTAAATAACTGAAGCAGCCGAGTCCCTGGTCTTTATGCAAAACCAAGGTCCACCTTGACCATGATTTTTGTGCTTCTGCAAAAAACGAACGTTGACCTGTTCTCTGCCAGTTACTTGCCTCTGTCCGTCAGAATACCTGCTGGGACTGATTCTCAAAGCCCCAACTTCCCAGCTACTGTAATCTGCTTGAGCAGGTACAGGTGTGAAAGTAAATGTTCCGCTGTTGGGTTCTTCCCTTCCAAGAGTGTAAAGGTATTTCCATTCAGCCATCCAGGTCTCTGAGTATGCCTGCCCTATTGAATGAAGGAAAGAATGTCCTTTTCAAAAGTTCTATGGAGCACTCGACTCCCCATTTGTAATTAGGCGCGTTCACATGTGCTTAGATGGTGAGTAACAAATAGCCATAGGATTTACCTTCTCAACTGTAACTACAGCCTGCTAGCTCTTGGAGGCTCCATCGTGCCAGGCACTGTACACACTGAATAAGAAGGCAGCTACATGTTCAGCGAGAGTCCTGGTTTACCTGTTTCTTGGTACCCCCAGACTTCTATATTGACGTGGCTGGTTGGTAGCGTCTGGTTCATCCAGGTGACGGTCAGGGTCCCTCCTGTGTTCGGTGTGCCATAGTACTGCCATTTTGTGGCATTCACAAGTGTGCATGTTTCCACAGCTGACACCTTGCTGTGATGTACTGCATTGAGGGATGGACGATGAGTTAATATTTACTTGACACAGCACTGAAGAAAACAGTATTGTTGTAAGCAGAGGGTTGGAAAAACAGGGACCTTGCGCAATGAACACAGTAACCCCCTGGGAAGATGAGCCTTTTGGCCACCTCTGCTTTCTGCACAGGGTGTCAAGTAATGACACCCCTCCAGCAATAGGTGAAAGAAGGATCGAGCCCTTTTTGCTATAGGTGGGTCCAGGAGTGTGGCACCAGGGCACTCTGAACTGGTGTCAGAATTTACAGCAGGGAATCTGTCCTGGTCTACAGAGGGCTTCCAGTTTGGGTCCGGGATGAGCCTCAGCACGTTCTGGGAAAGCACCAACTTATCAGCTTCATCTTCAATGTCAGCTTCATCCACAAAGACTATATTTGCTGTAGAAGGAATACTTCTGGCAGGCGCACCCTGACACAGCTGCTT